ACTAACTAACGTAACTAACTAACTAACGTAACTAACGTAACGTAACGTACGTACGTAGTACGTAGTACGTAGTACGTAGTAGTGTGTGTGTGTGTGTGTGTGTGTGTGTGTGTGTGTGTGTGTGTAGTAGTAGAGAGAGAGAGAGAGAGAGAGAGAGAGGAGAGAGGGAGAGAGAGATTCCAAGTCCATGAAAACATACGAAGTCATTCATAACCCCAAATTGTAAATTGCATCATACCCACTATTGAGAATCAAAACAAGCAATTTTAGAACCGATACCTGAATAAACTCCACCACAAAAAGGAACTCACAGTAAAGAGCTCACTGTACCAAAATATATATATATATATATTTTTGCTCGAAAATCCAAGTTCTATTAAACGAAAGGTGAATCCTTCGAGAATGGAAAAGAAACAGACATACAAGTGAATGGCAAAAGAATGGACATGTTACAGTGATGATAAAGTAAACCACCAAGCCCAAATTTCATACAGGGAGAGAGAGAGCCTCGTTTGTAGAATAGAGGCTTTTAGAGAGAGAAATGAGAGGTGAGGGGCGTTTAAATCCCTTATCAGATAGCAGAGTTTGGAGCTCAATTTTACGTGTGGAGAGCGACTGTACAATACGGGAGAGTAAAGCACACAAACGAATGTGTATGATAGAATTCGTATTTACTGTCCATTAAGAAAATGAACGATTGAGAGGAAATCTTTTGGGGGGGAGCATCTTGGATGCACACGAATTATGGTCCAGTCGCGCTCTCTCTCTCTCTCTCTCTCTCTGAGTTTGATTGAGGTAACCTTATCCCTGAGACGCCCATTCTCTCTAGTGAAATTACTCTGTCTATTTTTTTTAAATTTAAAGAGGAAAGTTTATATAGAGCCAAGGCTCTAAACAATCAAATTAGAGCTCACCTCAAAAATTTTACTAGAAGAGGTTGTTTTGATCCTCAAATTGGTCGTCTCTACATCAAGATACATATACAAAAGAAAAAAGGATTTCAAGTATTGAAAACAATGCATCTTGTAGCCTATTTTTGAACCGTCAATTCTCAAGAATTTTTAGTTTTCATAGATATGCTTGTTATTTTTTAAGCTTTAAATTTTATAATTAAAGATGAAAATATACTTTAAGGCTATCACAAAGATTTACGGTAATAAAACCATATTTCTCGGTACTATTTGAAAGTAGGCTCTAATTTGATTGTTTAGAGCCTTGGCGCTATACAAACCACACCCAAACTTAAATACCTTCCTCTCGTTGTTTTTTTTTTGGTGTGGTTTGCGGTGCAACCTCAAACAATCCAATTAAGAAGCACCTTCAAAATTTATCATAATATGTAATTTTAGTGTAAAAAATCCTTGGATTGCTTGAAAATCTATTTTTGACTCTAATTATAAAATTTTAAACATAAATTTTTTTTGAGATTGCCTGAAAATCTACTTTCAACTTTAATTATAAAATTTTGAACTTCAAAAATAGTTCAAATCAAGTTGATCTATAAACTATGAAAATATTAAAAATAGGCAGTTTAGATGATGTGTTGCAAATGCATTATTTCTAGGACTCGAAATCTTTTTCTTCTCATATTTATACATGTTTATGTGATCAATTAGAGGGTCTTTCAAAAATAAAACAAGATTTTCTGATGGATTTTTGAGGTGCGAACTTTAATTCTACATTTAAAATTGCAACCTCATATAAACTTTTTCCTTTCTCTTTTTTAACTCACCGACATAAATGATGTAACAAAACGTAATTAAAAAGAGAAATGATAATGGCATCTGATTCCTTACTTTTACATGAATGACGATAACGAAAATTTTAAAAGTTAAAATGTATCATAATTCCTGCATAACAGAAAACTTATTTACAAGAACACTATCAGTGATATTTAAACAATATATATTCATAGTTAAAAACTTTAAAAAATTAAATCCTACAATTCAAATTGCCATTAACTATTTTTGAAAGAATAAAAATTCGTAATTAAAAGATTGAAAAGTTAAGATTCAATCTTATCCTTTACTTTCACTTGGAAATTAAAAACTAAGAAAATTCTTGGAAATTAAAAACTAAGAAAATTCTTGGAAATTTTCCTACTCCTAGATATGCAAGCATCCCTTGGTCCTAAGAACTCCATTGAAGACATTTACATAATAAAACTTTTTGTTATTAAAATATTTGAAGAAAAATAAATCCATTGATAAATTTATGTAACAAATCAATATGTTTCAAGAATCAGAAACGGACCTGGCTATGGTGAGTTAGCCGGTTCAACTATTTTTGTGAGTCTCCTTATGCATTGAAGGTCCTTGAGATGGACATCAAAAAATGGGGGCTCTCCTAAAAGGCAAAATGGATGATGGGAAAAATTAAAAAAAAAAAAAAAAAAAATTACATTTTGCGTGGTAATGTTCATGGTTATAGTGATAGTACTATTGTGCCTCACTTGAAAGTCATGGCCTCCACCCTCACTAATGCATTAAAAAATTTGACTATTTCCAAAACAGGAAGGGGCTAGTCATCCCCACTGGTCTAAAAAAAAAGAAAAAGTTTATGGCTGAGATTCGCAAAACCTAGAATTTTGGATCCAAAACCATTTTTTAAGATAGATTTTGGAGGGGGGTACAATTGTAAATTGGGGGGGAGTTGGCTGGTTCACCAAATACTTTTCTATTACAAAATAATCACATAATTTTCTTGTAAATTGGGGGAGTTGGATGACTCGCCAAATACTTTTCTATTATAAAATAATCACATAACTTTTTATTTTATATTCAACTCCTTTTTATTTTTTATCAAATTTTTATTTTCTTTGTAACACCTCTTGAGAACTTGAATTTTAAGAAAAATAATGGGTTTGACACTTGAAGCATCGCTAACAGCATGGTTCGGCAGTTTGAAGCGCCAAACCTACTTGTTTAACTAAAAATCACTTTTTAAGTATATATATTGCTCCATGAGAGCATACTGCACACTTGCTCCCTTGAGAAAAAGAGCCACTTAGATGGTATTCTGGATCCAAAAGTTTGGGATCCACCTAAGGATCACCTAATTTTTTTAAAAAATAAAATAAAAGGAAAACATTGGATTTTGAGTCGTTAAACTCTTGCATCTGGTCATCCCTATTGTTGGATTTTTAAACTTAAGATGCTAGATTTTTTAACACATACAAAGCATTCGACAATTATTTTCCGAAGGATTGTCACTAGGTTGAAGAGTTTACATCCTAAAAATTTAAGGGCCTAAAACAGGCACCTAGATTTGGTTCTAGTTGGGGAGCACGGGCGCAGCATGTTCCAGTAGAACCGCACGATATATGCACGTAAAGAAAGTGGGTTTGAAGAGAATGACTTGGGGCTTTGGCGGTGGTGTTGTTGAGCCTCATGGTGAGGTCAGTGACTCCATTCTCATCAAAGGGTAGGGGCTCAAATCTCTATTGACTTTACCAATAATTTAGAAAACGGGTAGGGGCTCATCATCCCCACTGAATTATCCCCAAAAAAAAAAAAAAAAAAAAAGGTGGATTTTGAAGGCCGAACCCATGTTTTCACTTACAAAAAGTGGGATCCATATATAAAAACTAAAGTATGGAAAAAGTTTAAATAAGGGTGAGGCCCTAAACAATTAAAAGGTGCACCTCAAATACTTATTAGAAGAGGTTGTTTCAATGTCCAAAAATCTTTTAATTGATCATCTCGACTTAAAGATATATGAACATGAGAAAAAATGAATTCCAAGTCTTGGAAATAGTATGTCTTGTAATACATTTTCTGGATTGTCAATTTTCAAAATTTTCTAGTATTCATAGATCTATTCTATTTACACTAATTTTGAAGTTTTAAATTTTATGATTAGAAATAAAAATGAATTTTGAAGGGCTCATCATCCCCGCTGAATTACCCCAAAAAAAACAAAAAAAAAGTAGGATTTTGAAGGCCGAACTCATGTTTTCACTTACAAAAAGTGGGCTTTGTAAGATGTGAGAGATCCATATATAAAAACTAAAGTACGGAAAAAGTTTATATATGGGTGAGGCCCTAAACAATTAAAAGGCGCACCTCAAATACTTATTAGAAGAGGTTGTTTCAATGTCCAAAAATCTTTAAATTGATCATCTCGACTTAAAGATATATGAACATGAGAAAAAATGGATTTCAAGTCTTGGAAATAGTATGTCTTGTCATACATTTTCTGGACCGTCAAGTTTCAAAATTTTCTAGTATTCATAGATCTATTCTATTTACACTAATTTTGAAGTTTTAAATTTTATAATTAAAAATAAAAATAAATTTTGAGGGCATCACCAAAATTTCCAGTATTGAAACATCTTTCGATACTACTTAAAAAAATACCTTATTTTGATTGTTTAGGGCCTCAGCCTTATACAAACCAGACTCATAAAGTATTTAATAGGTTTAGTTCTTGAAGGTATGTAACCGAGGCTTAGAGGGCTTGGCTTTGAAGAGGAGCATGCAATGTGAGAGAGAGCCATTGGGCCAAAGAGAGTTAGAGAGAGAACTGAGAAAGAAAGAGAGAGAGATGTAGAGAGAGAAGGATATGTGTGTAGAGAGAGCTATTAGGCCAAAGAGAATTGAAGAGAGAACTAGAGAGAGAGAGAGAGCTAGTAGGAAGATTGTAAAGGGAGAGGGTTATATATAGAGATGCCAATGATCCATGAGCTATAGAGAAAGAGCTGATAGATTTGTGACAGCGTAGAGAGAGAATAAAACAAGGACCTAAAGCTAGCTAAATACCCTTCACCTAACTGCTCTTTTACAAGAGGTTAAAAATAACAAACAAAAGACCATATTACCTCTATGGTACAATGGTAAATAATAAAATAAAGAATGGGGAATCATATATATCATAATGTTTTCACAATTTTATTATCTAACACCCTCCCTCAATCTAAAAGTGCATCTTGCATTGAAAGCTGTCGAGTCAACTCCAAATATCCTGGTTGCTATAATACCCTGGTAAATATATATGCCATCCAGGTGTGCGTAGGAACAAATAGCATAACAATGTTTCCATATATCACTTTTTTACGACGAAATGATAATCAATCTCTATGTGTTTCGTGGGCTACCAAAAATAGGTTCTTAACAGACGTCATAGCACTTTGGTTATCACAAGAGAGTTTAGTAGACTTTCTCATGGGTATTTGAATTTCATTAAGAAGACTATGAAACCATGCAACCTCTATTGCCTCATATTAGAAGATGTATTTATTTTTTGTACAATGGAAGTCACAATCATTTTTGGCCATTGAATGTGAAATACAATAGATGAAAGTGTATTACAGCACTCAAGATATTTGGTTTTGGACTTTATGTCCAAACAATAACAAATCTTTAACCACCTAATTTCAAATGTAACAGTTAATGATCATTGTGACGTCCTTACATCAAAAGTAAATGGTCTCATTATATGCATTTCCATAATATTGAGATAGGTTAATGTTCTTCTTTGTATACTTAGCTAAACGGGGTCAATAGTTTACTTTATGTTGCTTCGCAATTATGCTGTGAAGGATAATGCATTAGAGCATATATACTATGCTACCGTCAGAGCATATAATGTACATTTACTCCTTGAGTCAAAATATCTACTTGGGAGGATTTTGTTTTTCAATCTTGACTTTTGCGAACCACGAAAGAATCATTAGATTATTATTCTCAAAAATTAAAATTTTAGTTTTATACATTTAGGTTTCACTTTTTAATAATTGGACGGTCTCTATTGAATCTTGAGACATTATTTTTTTTCAAG